GGGACTGGTGCACCCCCCTGCCCAGCAGTGAGGGTTCCCGTGGCCATCGGCCGTGTGTGTGGAGCCAGCTGACGGCTCAAGAAGCAGCGAGCAAAAGGCTGTGAGGATGGGATGTGTTTCGGAAAGGCCTGGCCTGGTGTGAGGGGCGCGAGAGCTGCACATGGCCTCTGCAAACAGCTGAAAATGCTCAGCTGCGATTTCTGGTCACTTGCATGGAGAGCACGATTTCGTGTCTTGTTTGTTGCTGCCCAGAGGGTAAGCAGGGCCCAGTACCTTGGGAACTGGGGCCAGAGTCTGTTTGGGGACCAGGGTAGAATTTGTTTTTCTTTTGAAGATGGGGAAGGTGCAAACGGAGCCCTATGTGGCACTGGCAAATCAGCTGGCCCCTGACTTCCCGATCCCCGGCTGGAGCCCTGTTGCATTTGATGCTTTTGCTGAGCAGGAGCTGCTGCTGTCAGCTCTTAAGTGTTTCAGCAGTCCATATGCTATTTAGGGTCAAACAGGAGGGCCTGTTGGCCCTTTTTAGGTCTTGCTTCTTGCTTAAGAAGCTCATGTGGCTGGGTGTCAAACTGAAACTGTGGCAGCTTTCCTTCTGCAAGATGTGTGCTCTGCTGCAACCCCGTCCTGTGTGACCCTGAGCAGCAGTGTCCTGCTCCCATCCCAGTGCAGACCCCAGTGCCCTGGTGCAGGCTCTGCTGGAGCAGCTCCTGCAGGGCATCTGTGAGCCCTTGCTCTGCTCAAGGCGTCCCTAGGGGGGATATGTGCTGTTGCCAAGGGTTGCATCCCCCACACCAGCCCCTGGGGACCCTGCTGCAGGGACACGGTTGCTGTCAGAGTGTGTGCGTTGCACTTTCAGTTCTGCATGTGCTAAAATAGAAGTGCTTGCTTCCCTTCTGCGGGCTGAGCACTGACACCGGCACCGCCTTCCTGCCGGTGGAGGAGCAGGACGGGGCCCTGGCCTTGCTGGGTGGTCTTGCCAGCCCCCTCCATTGCTGGTGCCCCTGGGACTGTGTGCCCGGGCCCACGCGATGCTTTGGGTGCCGATGTCTCCTGTGCTGGAGCACATCGGTGAGGAAGCAGAGCCATGTGCTGCCTCAGCACCGGGCCCCTGCAGGGCCACACCAGGGATGGGGCACACGGGATGCCCGTGTGCTGCCCCACAGGGGCCATGGCTCAGTGCTGGCCTGGCCTGGGCTGTGTTGCAGGCAGGGTCTGGGGTGGGGGTGCAGGGAGCAACTGCGCTTTTCTGCACCCTGTCCAATGCAGGAGCTCCAGGAAACCCCCCCTGTGCTGCCTGGCCCTGTTCATCCACGTTCACCTCGGCGTGGGGCAAGGGCCTGGCTCTGTGCTCGCTCTGGGCAGGGAAGGGCTTGGTCTGACTGCGGGACGGCCAGGCTGTGTGGGGCTGGGGTGGCCCCTCAGGGAGGGCGGCAGGGCCCGGGGGGTGGGGGAAGAGGCTGTGAGGGGGCTGGTGTGGGGAGTCTGGGGCTGATCTGCTCTTCCTTCTCAGGGAAATGGCCCCGGTGACGCTGGCATGGCGGCCCGGTGTGGCAGAGAGGGCAGCGGGGAGGCGCCGGCCCTGGAGATG